AGGAGGATGTTCAGTTCATCTCTCTCTGAGGTGAGATTCTTTTCAGGTACTTTTAACTCTAAATATTGTTTTAACACTGTGTTCTCAAGGCTGTTGCAAACTGGTTTGTGTATGAAGGATGACTGCATGGATTTCATGCACTTTGCATTTGCAGAAACTCTGGTGGACCTCTCTAGCTCCAAAGCCATGCAGTGATTTCTCTTGCCATGTGAAGAAGGATTTGATGCTTTTGAGATGTGGCACATTAAAACATCTTTGCTCATAAAAGGTCTAAAACTCAATGCTTGTTAGGTGTGACTTCTTTCCCTAAAAACCTAATTTCTGAGAGGGCTTTTGTGTTTACAGTGTCCTGGGTTTGAGTTTGTGTTCACAGGAATTCCACCTGCAGCAGGTTTCTGTCCTTTCTGATGATCAGCAGGGTAAAGTTTCCTCTAGTCCTAGAGGAAAAATACCCAGCTTTCCTTCTGGATTGCCATTAAATTACATTAAATAGTAGGTTTTAAGGTCAAGTGTAATTTTGAAGCCTTGAGGGTTCGTATTTAGGTGAGAGAGGTGAAGTGGGGGTTTGTGTGTTACAATATTCAGGAATTTTAAAGGATTTTTCCAGCACAATGAGAGGATTCTCCAGATGGCTCTGGATGCAATTTGATTTCTTAAAACACTTCCTAAATGTTTGGTAAACCAGAACGGGGAACTGAGGGCATTGCAGGGTCTTTTAACATGGAAAATATTTATTTGTGACCACTGCAGCTGGTGTCACCTTCCATAAATCTGCAGCTCAAACAGAATATTCAGAACAACTTCACAATTGATTTATCCAAAGCAAGAAGGCTCGAGGTGCTGATTATTTTAAGGAATTTTCAGGATATATACTATACTATTATATATATATATATATATATATATATATATATATATATATATATATTTATAATTATAATAATAATTAGAGTATATTATATAAATATAATGTATCTACTATATTAATATATTTTATTATAAAATATAATATATTATGTATTATAACTATAGTAATAGTTAATTTAATGAATATGAATATAATAATATAAAAATATAATCTATTTCTATATTTATATAATATAGAAATGAATATATTTTTATATATTTTATATAATTTTATATATAAAATTTTATATATTATATAGACTATGTTATAGTTAATATAGATTTTAATATAAATTTTTATATTTATATAGAAGTATATTTGTATAATATACTTTTATATAAAATATTTATTTCATGTATTTTATATATAATATAATTATATGATATAGTATATATTATATGTTATATATATTATATATTATGTATATAATTATATATAATATATATAATTATACCTATTTTATATATATATATATAAAATATTTATTTTATATATATTTTTAAAATTTTTTAATATTGGCTTCCCCCTGAAATTCCCATAGCAGCAGGGCTGAATTTGGGTAGGAAATACCTGGGGCTGTCCCTGCTGGCTGCTGCCGCGGGAGGCCGCCAGAGCCCGCGCGTTCCCGCTGCATTTCCCGAGGGCTCCATCATCATCATCATCATCATCATCATCCCCAGCCATGGCCGGGCTGGGGAGCCCGCACTGCGGGGCTGCATCCCGGGGAGATGCTCCTGCAGTCCCAGATTTTACCATCCATCTATGGAAATCCCATGGAAAATCTGCATTATTGCTGCAGGAAGGAACATGAGGGATCAGCTCTGCACTGTCATGGCTTGGTGATTTTGGGGTTTTTTTTTGTTGGACCAAAAATAGTGAAATTGGGAAAATAACCCCCAAAACCTACTTCTGTTAATGATGGGAACATTGAAGGATGCCTCTGCATCAAAAATTTCAGATAGTCCCATTTTAGAGAAAAAAGGCTATTCCCAAATAGAGAAAAAAGGCAATAGCAGGGGAGATGTCTTGGTTCCAAGGCCATTAGCACCTGCTGTAAATAAAATCCAGGAATGCCGAGAAACGGAGATTTTACCAGCTCCAAACACGCACTTGATTCCCAAGGCTGAGGCAATACCTCCGAGGGTGATCTGGGATTTTCTCCCCTCTCAGAATTGCCTGACAAAAGTTTCCCCCAGGCAGCGATGCTGGAGCAGTTGGGCTTTGCTTGTTTAAATGGTAATTAAGGTTTAAACTGATATCAGACACCGAGCAGGGCAAAAACAGGAGCTGTGCTGCTCAGGCTCCAAAAAATGAGTGTTTGCAAATAGTGAGGTTAAAAAGCCTGCTTAGTGTTCAGTTGAAAGCTAAGTTGGAATTATTGTAGAGCCAAAATTCAGATTTTTATTTTTTTTCAATTTGAAATAGGCTTCCCTAAAGCTCAGCCCAGCAGAGTTTTCATGGTGCTGCTCAAGCTGTGCTTGCAAAGTTTGCAACCAAACTAACCCAGAATCAAATGTGAAAATGGGATTTAAAGCTTTAATAAGTAGTTTTAAATTTAAAACTTAAATTAAAATTTAAGCTTTAAATCAACCAGTGTTTTATTTTACAAAAGTGAGTGAAATTCTCCTTATAAAACATCCCCAAAAACCTTCCAATTTTTATAAATCACAAAGCATAAAGAATAAATTTTGGCTTTTTTATGATGATATTTTACTACAGCCTCCAAGCTGTGTGAGCCCCCAGATCTCCACAATGATGCTGAATTAAAGCAATATAATTCCAATTTCTCATCACTGTAAAGCAATAAACAACAGAAACCTTTCTATATAAACAACATTGATGTTCACCTTGTAAATAACAATGCACTGAAAAATTCTGGGGTGAAAAGAAGAAATTCCCTTCTTTGATGATGTAAATTTGTTTTGCTGATGGTTTCTTGCGGTTTCTGGGTGATTTCGAGTTCAAGTAAATTCTGTCACCACTTCCTGCTGACAACCTCGTCCAGATCTGTTAAATTCAGAGTTTTTAGCACTGGGGAGAGGGGCTGAAAATCTGGGGTTTGCTCTTTGCTGCAGGATGGGGAAGGCAGGAGGTTACCTGAGAAAAGAAGAAGCTTCAAGTGAATTTTCAAAGCAGCTGTCTAAAGATAACACAAATTAAAAAAAAATAGCAATTTTCCTCTTTATTGGGTGTATTTAATAGCTGCTAACCAGCCTGGTGCTTGAATCTTTGTTAGCAGCATGTTTAAATTGTGCACAGGGGGTGACAAAAATGTCATTTACTGTTGAAAATCTGGTTGTGGGATTCCTCACCCTGCTGCTTCAGTGATGTGATCACAGGGCTGGGCTTGGCTTGTGTGGAAGGAAAATAATTTCTAGCATGAGCTAGGATGTTGTTTTACCCACAAAAATTATCAGAATTAATGGAAATATTGCCTTATTATTCCATGTATTTAACACTTGAACCAGAATATTGCTCTTATTACCAATTAAAAATTCTGCAATCAAATATCATTAAGAATTTCCTTAAGCAAGAGAACGTTAGAACAAAAATAATCTCATAAAACAAATATATTTCAGCCCTGAAGGTGCAGAACTTTAATCATAGATGTGAGAAATGGACAGATAGAAAATTTTAAATATTTTTAATATTGGAAATGTCCAGGGGACGATGGGAAGAGTCCCTGCCCATGTCAGGGGTGGAATGGGATGGATTTTAAGGTCTCCTCCACCCCAAACCTTTCTAGGATTATTAAACCTGTACTTTATACACTGAATTATTGTTATTAGGGAATAAAAACAGGGAGAAGCCTTCAGCTGACCTGAGCTCTGGGTGCTGCTGTGTTAATTACAGAGCTTTGAGGGCATGGATTTAATTGGGGTTTGCTGAGGGTGTGAGCACGCCTGCAGCTGCTGGGGCACAAATCTGCTGGAAAAATTCATGGATGGAGATTTCCAGGAGAAATAGGGAATATCCTCAGTTCTGCCCTTAGCCCTGAGGCCTGGTGGAGAAGCTGGGTTGGTATTGGTGGATTTGGGGGTTAATATTGGTGAATTTTGGGGGTTAATATTGGTGAGTTTTGGGGGTTAATATTGGTGAGTTTTGGGGTTAGTACTGGTGGGGCTTGGGGTTAATATTGGTGGATTTTGGGGTTAATATTAAGAATGTTTGGGTTAGTACTGGTGGATTTTGGGATTAATATTGGTGGATTTTGGGGTAAGTACTGGTGGCTTATGGTGTTAATATTGATGAACTTTAAGCTTAGTATTGGTGGATTTTGGGGGTTATTATTGGTGAATTTTGAGGTTAGTACTGGTACTTTTTGGTGTTAATATTGGTGGATTTTGGGGTTAATAACAATGATTTTTGGAGTTAATAATGATGAATTTTGAGATTAGTACTGGTGGATTTTGAGGTTAATATGGATTTTGGGGTTAGCACTGGTAGATATGGGGCTTAAGATTGGTGGATTTGGGGGGTTAATATTGGTGAATTTTGGGGTTAGTACTGGTGGATTTTGGGGTTCAATTCGTGCATTTTGTGTCTCTGCTCTGCCGCTGCTCCCCCACCCGCGGGGCCAACCCCAGCGCCCACCCCGCGCACCAGACACCGCTAATTACGGCCGTTCATTAACGCGCGCTAATTACCTGCGCGGGGAAAGACGGAAATACCGCACAGCCATGGGCCAGTGACCGCAGCCGCCCCTTTCCCTGCGCCGTGACCCCGAAACCCGGGACCCCCGGGGCCGCGCATCCTGCGCGCATCCCCGCGGGAGGCGCGGCGCCTTTAAGAGCCCGCGCCGTGTTTGTTGTGCGGCCGCGCGAGCCCCGCTCCCATTGGCTGCGGCCGCGCGAGCCGCGCTCCCATTGGCTGCGCCCGCCGCAGCCGCTGCGTGCGGGCCCGCCGGTGCGCGCGGGAGGGGCGGGAGCGCCGCGTCCTGAATGGCTGGGCAAAAATGGGCTGCGGCCGGCGATAGCCAATCCTCAGCGTGTTGCTATGTGCCGGCGGGCGCTGATTGGTTGGAGTCGATGTCGCTCAGCGCGGGCAGGGTATAAGGGGGAGGGAGCAGGCGGTGGACGGGGGAGGCGCTGCGGGCTCTGTGCGCGTCGGCGGCCGCCGCGCTCGGTCCGCGCCGGGACGCGCTCGGTGCGGCCGCGGTGAGTGAGGGCGGCACGGAGAGCGTGAGGGCGTGAGGGGCGAGCGGCCGCCGAGGAGAAGCGTCCCGGCCCGCCCGCGGCGGGGCCGGGGCTGGGCGGCCGCGCGCAGCTGCGCCACAGCCGCGTCTGTGTCCGTGTGTCCCCGCATCCCCCCCTGCACCCGGCCCGCGGCCGCGCGGATCCCGCGGAGCATCCCCGGGGGGCTCCATCACGGCCGCTGGCGGAGATGGGGGAGCCGCCGGTGCTGGCGGTGGGAGAGCCGGGCTGGGCGAGCGGCGGCCTTTGTGTGCGCGGCCGGGCCGGGGATGGAGGCGGGGGGCAACAGGTCCGGCCGGGATGGGCTCGGTGCCACCGGGCCGGGGAGCCGCGAGGAAACACCGGGCGAGGAAGAGGAGGAGGAGGAGGAGGAGTAGCAGAGGTGGTCGTGCCTCGCCACCCATCCGGCTGTGTCGGTGAACGCACCGCAAGCCCTGAGCCCGCGGGTGGCACCGGCCGTGCGGGGGGCTCGGGCCGTGACCCCGCGGAGCTGCCGCAGCTTCCCCGGGGGCTCCGGGCAGGCGGCTCCGTGTGCCAGCGCTGCTGCGAGCCCCTGGAGCCCCGGCCGTGGCTCTGCTGCCATCATCGTGCCCGGGGGGGCGCAGGGATTGCGGGGCAGCCTGGGGATGCCCTCCCGGGGCTGCTCGGCTGCTCTGCTCTGCTGCTCTGTGCTCCTGCCCAGCTGCTCGGTGCTGCTGCTGTCTCCCCTGATAAGGGTGTAGCAGCTTCCTCTTCTGCAGAGCTCCGCCGAGGGGCCAGGGCTGAGGGTGAAATGGTAACGGGGTTCTGCATCTCCATAGAGACTTCTAGGTTTGATCCAGAAAAGTTGGAGGTGACAGAAGTAGCCCTCGGTCATAGCTTCAGGTTTTAATGCTGATTTTTGAAGTCCAGCTGATTTGAAATGGTCCTGTTTAAAATGTGATTTGAACGGGGTAGGATTTGAAAAGAAGTGGAATCCTCGCAGCCTTAGCCTGCAATTTACTGGAGTGGCTCTGTCCTCACCTTTTCCTGTCTTAGAAAACAGCCAGAGCAAGGCCTGTCAGAGCAGTGTTCCTCGCATGCAGCTGGGCAAGGGCGGGACGGGGCTCAGCACCTGCCCTGCCTCCCTCAGCGCCTGCTCCCTGCTCCCGATAAGGATTTTTCCTAATGCGTTTATGGTTCCTTAAAGCTGGGCAGTGCAGGGAGGCCTGTGCTGAGTGAGAGGGTTGTAAACAAGCAGATACTGGGGGGAGCTTGCCTTGTAATCCGTGAGAGGATTCTGCCTGGAAAGGATGTGTTCTGTGACTTCATCCTCGCAGAGCACTCCCTCTGATTCTGTTCAAGATCTCATCGTGTTGGATCCACGCCTCTGGTGCCTTGTAAACATGGTTTGCTGTGTAATAGCAGTGCTGGAACAGGGAGTTGGGATGTTCTCCTTTCCTCCCTGGATCCCTGGTTCTTGTTTCCTCCTTCCTCTTGTTTCCTCCTTCCTCTTGTTTCCTCCTGTGTAAAAGCGAGGGCTGGGCTTTGAAGCTGAGGTTGGGAATGCTGTTGGCAGGGCAGAGACATTGTTTTCATCTGATGGAGATGTCAAGTGCTTCTCTTATTTATTTATTATTTTAGCTTTCTTTGCAGGTATCTCTTTCCCAGTGCCAGGATTGGAATAACTGGCAAAACAGTCCTTGAGCTCCCTCGTGTCCTCTGGATCCATAGATTGTGAATAAATTATTTCCTTTCCTTGCTGCTTGGTGCGTGCGGTTGAGTCAGGGTTGTGTTGAAGAAGACAGCATCCCTACCTGTAAATCCACATTCCCTCAAAGGCTCCTTGACTCATGGATTGAAACCTGTTGCTGAGAGAGAGAGAGAGAGAATTTAATTAAGGAACTGGTCACTCTGGTGTAGGTCCTGGTTGGCAGCTCAGAAAGTTGGGACCTCCTTCATCTGCTGTGGCACTACAAAAGCATTGCAGGGATTGCAGAGGAGTAAAAAACCATTTATTTCTTGTTCTTGCATCACAACCTTGCCTTTGCCTGCGTTTGTGGAAGAAGAGACACCAATAAAGCCAGGCTTTCATTGGGCTTTGGTCATTAGCTGGCAGAGCTTTGTTTGCTTGAGCTTAAGCAGAGTCTTCATTAGAGGTCAGCTGTGGAGTGCTGGAGCACAGGGATCACAGAGTGGAGTCAGGAATGAGGAAATTGAGAGTTCAGTTCCCTGGGCTGTTCTGAAGCTGATCAGGATGCCCAAGATGCAGCAGAGTGTGTTCATTGCTTGGAAACCAGGATACACAGCTGTCTTTTTCCACTCTTTGATAGAGACCTGTGAGTTGGTCCTTCAGGATGTTCCCTCTTTTCTGTGCCTGTTTGTTTGCAGGTCTTGTGTTTCAGATCCAGCCACAATCACTAAAGGCTGAGGACAGGTTTCCTTTTCCTTCCAGTGCATGGAAGAGAGGGGCTATTCTGACCCAAAGATTTTTAATTTCTTTAGTACAGATCTTCAGCTGCTAAATCAGTGTCTGTTGGCTGCGTGACGCTGGTTGAGATTGTGGATTTCTTATAGTTTGTCTTTTTGGGGAGAATAAAACCACACTTATCTGGGGTGCTGTACCCTGGACCTGAATCCTGTTCCCTGTACCCCCACTGATGCCTGGTCCTCATCTCCCTGGATTTTGGCAGTGGGTTATCTCCCACTCTGCTTTCTGCCACGTCATTTTGCCTTTTTGTCCCTGTTTGTTAGGCTCTGTGGCTGTCCTGCTGCACAGAAACTGAGTGTTCCTGATTCTTCTCCTTCTCTGCATCCTTTTACTGGACAGCCACATCTTCCAGCCTGCCTGGGAGCTTTTCCACCCTCTGCTGTGGGATGTGTTGGCCATGGGGAGCAGCTCCGGCTCCGGAAGCCTCACTGGACTGGCCAAGCCACTTAAGGCTGCAGGAAATAACATAATTAATGAGACTTAGTTCTCCCTCATCTCGCACCTGACAATCTCAAGTCACTTGACAATGCTAATTAAAGCTAATCACGCTCCCCTGTTTTTAGTAAATAGCTATTATCCCTGCTTCACTCTTGCTTTAACAAATGATAGTGCCGGGCTCTGTGAGTCACTGGGAGTTGTGGGAATGCAGACTGGTGGAGCTGCCTTCCGGTCTCCTCACCAACAGGTCCATCTAGAGATTGGTTTTTTTACACCTGCTCAGGTGGAAAATGTTAAAATGTGAGCTGTTTTGCTAACTCACAAAAATATATCATTTTAGACTCCTTTTTTTTCCACTGCTGTTGTGACTTGTACAAAACAAAACTCCCGCAGTGGAGCAAAGGCTCCTGAAAGTTCCAAAAGCTGAGGATGCTTTGAATTTGCCCTTCAGAGAAGTTTTTGATGTGCTGAGGGGGAAGGCAGAGTTCTCCTGTTTCACATTGGCACCAGGAGGACAAAACGTAGCGTGGTGTGACCTGGGCATTGCACGGCCCAGCCGTGGAGCTCCAGAAGAAACCTCTGAGGTTTCACTGATGAAATACGGCTGGAGCAAGATGTTTCTAAAAACAGACTGCCCAGCATCACAAACAAAAATAAAGAGATGGGGTTAATTATTAACTGTGGGGAAATACGAAATCTTCAGGAGAGTCCCAGGAGCTCCCAGCTCAGCCATGCGTCAGTTCTGTCACAGAACTGAGCCAGGTGAGTCAGTTCACCTGCCTTGGCAGGCTGAGAGGATATCCAGGAGGAACTAATGACAAAACCTGGCAGGGTAACAGCTGACTTGACCTTCTTAAACCAGATTCGGTTATAAAGTAGCTGCCATGTGAAGATCCAGGCTCTAAATGCTCACCTGACTTTGCCCCCTTGACACACCAAAGGGGAGTGAGAAGGGTTGTGTCTGAGGTGCCTCAGAGCTTGTCCCTTGTTAATGCAGGAACTGTTGCATTAAAAGTGTTTCTGGCAGAGGTGGGTCAGGATTCACCATTTTATCCTCAGCTTTACTCAGAATCAGATGTAGCAGGGTAGAAAATAAAGCTGCTGCCTGTCTTGTGGCAGATGAGCTGCTGGGCAGAGCAAGGCTGGGTTAAAGATTTCCTGGGAAGAACTCTCTGAACAGGTGGGGTTTGTGGGCAGGTGAAAACTTGGGAATTTGGCAAGGAGAGCTTGTAGTAGTGAGTCATGACAGGCAGCTCTAGCAGACCCTTCTTTAATGTCTTTGAGGATATTGGAGTGATCCTTGCAGTAGATAAATGTTCTCACTGTGTTCCCTGCCTTTATCAGGGAGAAATGGATGATCTGTCCTGCAGACCCCGGTAATTGAATCCTGGTCATACCTAGGGAGGGAGATAATAAAGTGATCTGAGGAGCACCACAGAAAATGCAGTGATGGGAGATTTATTTGGACAGCCAGACTGTTTTGCAATTAAAGCAAATCAAGCTGAGAAGTGGGGATGATGAAAAGCATTTCCATTTTGTCAGTAAATGATCACTTGGATGGGAAGAGCTTTTCCTCTCTGCCTTTAGTTCACCTTGGTGCTGTAATAGGAAGGCAGGGGTTTTGTTTCATTTTGTAGAACTGTGTCTGTGTGAGTGTGTGCAGAGTCCTTGTCTGGGGCCCCAGGTGTGACCTTCACCTTGAGCCTGGCTTTGTCCAGCACAGGGGTGGCTCTGAAACGGAGGAGCTGCAGCTCAGCTGATTCAGCTGCAGCGCTCTTACCCCTTCCTGGGGCTTTGCAAAATGCAGAGGAGGAAATGGAGTCACTTGTGTGTTAAATTAGCCCAGGCTGCAGCTTTTATTTGTGGCACGAGTGGGATTTGCTGGTGGGAGCAGACGGAAGCGCCGCCTGCTTCGGCATCGCTGCTTCTCCAGGAGATTTCTCCTGCTGTGCTCGGCACCTCTGGAGTGGCCTCTGCTGGAGCTGGGCCCCGGGTCTGGCTGGAAGGAGCTGGAGGTGGGCAGCTCACAGCTGTAATCTCGCCCTGCTGCTCCTTATCAGCAGCACAGGCTCTTCTG